TTCCCCCTGCCACATGCACCCCACGAGCGAGGTGCCACCCCACATGCAGCCAGCCCTCCCCAGACACCTTCAGAGGGGATCTGGGCATCAGGACTACCTGCTTCTTCATCCTCCTCCGGCAACAGGTACTCCATCAGCTTCTCCAGGCCTCCCAGGGCCGTGTCGACCCCTGCGGCTGCCATTTGGCTCACCGAGTTCCTCCTCGTGTACTTTGCTGTTGTTTCCACCGTGCTCTTGGTGGCCTCATAGCCCTCCGCCGCCAGCTCCATGATCTTATCCATGGAGGTGCCAATGGTGCTTTTGGCACTTTGGAGCGGAGAGGAGATGGTGCCCTTCAGTTCGGACGCGAGCTGCAGGCAGAGAGATGGAGAAGAGCCCTGCTGGTGTGCTCGGGGTGGCATGGGACAGCCAGAGGGACCATGGGCCATGGCCATGCCGGTAGACAGCCCTGAGAGGGGCATAATAGCTCTCTCTAGCCTGGGCTAGAGTTATCTGGCAGGGATGGGACACAGGACGCTGTTGACCTATATTTGGAGCGCCCCAACCATCCCCTGGGCTGCAGGAGCCCCTGGAGGAGTCCTTGCTTGGAGGTGCTGCCCTGTTCCTCCCTGAGTAGCCCATCACCGTCCAGAAACAAGACCAGAGGAGACGTGCTGTGGGCTCTGCAGGGGGGCTGGGGGGTCCCAGACTGTTCTGCCTGTGACTTACCTTGTCGACGGGATACTGGAGGGCAGGGATCTTCTCCTCCAGGTGATCCAAGCCCCGGCAAGCCAGGTTGTTAGCCACAGCGACTGCCTTGGGCAAAAGCATGGGGATGGGTTAGTAAGAAAAGCTCCCGGGCTGTGCTAGGGGGTCTCACGTGCTAGTGCCAGCGCTGTCCCACCAAGGGAAGCTCTGGTACCTCCCCCTGCCGTGTCCCCCCCTGTGGATGGACTCACACTGAGGCTCCAGCCTGCGCACCACGGGCTCTACGCTCCACATGGCCAAGGCACTGGCACCCTGCACGCCCCGCTCGTAGACCTCGCACACCGAGGCCATGAGCGGGTGGGCCTCCTTGGTGCTGGCATAGGTCCGCTGGAGGCTTTCACAGGTCGAGCTCACCACCGGCAGCTGCAGGACCCTCTGCAGCACGTTCTCCTGCAGGTGGCAGACAGGCATTGGTTAGCCAACAGCCATTCCCCGAGGAACGCTCCATCGCCCACACACTGGTGGCATTTGCAGTGACCACAGAAGACCTCAGCTTATGCTGAGGAGGGCATTTCTCAAACCCCATTGAGGGTCTCCCAGCTATGCTGTGTACGGCACAGCCATGGACAAGCAGGCTGGCTGCTGCTGCTGAAGGAGCAGGGACACCATAGGCAGAGTCGGAGGGGTGATGATCCCCACTCCCTCCATCTCCCAAGCCCGACTGTCCAGGTGCTCCCTCTGGCTTTCCACCCTGCTTTGCTGTTTCTTCCATCTGACCCAGTCCTTGCTCCTGTCCTTGGACCAGCAAAGTCCATTTTGCCTATGTGGCACCTCTGTCCTGTCTGTCCTGTCACCACCGTGACAAGTAAGGGATATGGACCTCAAAAAGGAGAAGGGGAGAGGAGCGGGTCTGTCCTTGATGGCACAAAGGGCTTTGGTAGGAGCCATTGAAGAAGAGGGGACCAGAGCTCTCCGAGGCAGCAAGGCACTGCGTCCCCACACCCTTGTAGCACGGGCGACGTGGGATGCCAGTATAAACCAGCACAGCCGACACCTGTGTGTGCTGCCAGTGCCGGAGCACGGCTGGAGGCTGGTCCCTCAAAGCTGGGTGAGCAGGATAAACCTGCAGCTCCAACCCTCCGCTCCTGCTCTCGCCCGGCACCCAGCTGGTGAGGTGAGACAACCGAGGGAGACGCTGCAGCCCCGAGGGAGGAACGGGGCAAACCTTGGCTCATAGCAGCCATGAGGCAAGTGCTCTTTGGGTTGCACGGGACAGAGCAGAAGAAAAAGCTGAGCTGTCCCCGGATCACCAGTGGGTGAGAGGCTGAGTTTGGCCTCACGTCCCACTTGTGACCATGACTGGGCCGTGAATCTGCATGTTTGATAAAAACGATATTGTTTTGTGCTGTATTGTGCTAATTTTGTCTTGACGTGGAGTCAGCTCTCTCACAAATCCCGCAGTTTTTAGATTTTTTAGACTTTTTTAGACTTTTTTAGACTTTTTTCAGACTTTTTTAGACTTTTTTCAGACTTTTTTAGCAATCCTAGGGCTCTAGCATGATTGCTGGAGGTTTGGGGTCCACAGTGGGGACACAGACGAAGGACAGGCACTGCCGGCAAGTATCACTGAGGGCTCGCACCACCCAGGGTTAACTTTCTTGATTCTGGACTATTTAATTTCAAGCATGCAAAAGGTTTTATCCTTTCCCTTTGATGATGCTCTATGTTATTGCAGGTAAAGATCCATATAAAGATAACAGGGGGACACGTGGCACAGTGTCAGATGTGACTCGTATTCATCCAACAGAGCCGGTAGGAGCTACCTGGTGCCCTTGGCACACCTCTGCCCTCCCCTCTCTCCCTCTTCCCGCACCCACCTTGGCACTTCCATTCTGCAGAGTCTGATTCTTCTTCACCGTCATCGCGATGCATCCACCTGCAAAGCAAAGTTGGGAGATGCAGACCCCGCTCACTGAGAACTGCGTGGGTCCCCTCACTCACTCCTGCACCCACTGAGCTCGGCGGGGCCGGGAGCTGGGCTGAGACACACACCTCCCATGGGTGCAATGGATGCGGCATTGCCTAACAGTCGACTTTTTACCAGTTAGGCTGTAAAACCAATGACTCCACACAGCCCTCCCCAGCTAGTGTGTCTTAACACCCGAAGACACAAAAAATTAGTTGAGAGGCATCTAGTTTGGAGGGGCTACAGTACAAGGCAGGATAAAGGGCATTGGCAGAGCTGTAAAGCAAACTCAGAGCAAGCAGTGTACTAACAGATGTGCATGGGGGCCAGGGTGAGAGACGCAGGCTGAGAAGGGGTGAGAAGGCAGGACGGGAGCAGAGAGAGGAGCTGCGGGTAGGGATGCGGCGAGCTGCCCAGCCGTGGTCACCCTCCCGCACCTCTGCCCTGCAGCTCTGCTGCTCGCGATGCCAGCACCCATCCCTGCGCAGCCCCAGCTCGATGCGGGGGGCAAAAGCACCACAAAATGCCCGTCTCCACTGCTCCCGGCTGGGTGACACCCGAAAGCACACCTCCAGCTCCCACGCCCAGCACAGACCCCCTTTTCTCAGCAGCAGACGAAATTCAGATTTATGGAGTGCGGGTGATCCCTGCTCTCACCCACCCCGGTCCCGCTGAAGCTGTCCCCGGAGTGCCCGGTGGGGACAGGCTACTCACCGAGGGGCAGCCCGTCCCTGGCAGAGCAGGAGCAGAGGGTGGTGGCTGCACCGTCCCTTCGCCCGGGTCCTCTGAGAGTGATGCACGGTGCCCCGGCCACTACCACCACGAGGCCCCACCTCCCAGTTGCGCGGGTTTGGGAGCTGGCGGGTTGTGGTGGAAACTGGCCAAAGAACTCCCTGAAGCTACCGTAATTTGGAACAGATGACGGCAGAAAATCCCCTTCATCGTCTTCCCTGCAGAGCCCAGAAGTTGCAGCACAGCTGGGATGCACCGGGGTTTAATGCCACTCCACCAAGAGAAGATGAAAAGAAGTCACCCTTGGACCTCACCACCTCAAAAGCAACAGATCATGAGCAGCCAGGGAGAAGGTGAAGAGTCAGGCAGGGTTTGTTACGGACAATGGGGGGATGATGAGTGCAGAAAAGACTAAAATCTTCCTGTATTTCTGTAGCCCCTGTTATCCCCCTTGGTGGACCAGGATCCTATCCTGTTGGGAAATGCAACACAGACCAAGAACATAGTTTCTTCCCAGGAGAGTTTACTAAGCACAAGGAGTAGAAGGCAGACATGGGGGACACATCCTGCATAAAACAATCTAGTTTGGCCAGGTCTGCAGTTTCTAAAAGAATCCACAGAAGATTTTGGCGAGGAGGCTTTTAGCTGAGGGTCAGGGCAGACATGGCATTAGGAAAGCTCTAGGCATTTGGAGTAGAAAGAAATGGAGGAAAAAATCAGGTTGGAAGTGATCTCTGGAAGTCACCTCATCCAGCTCTCGCTCAAAGCAGGGCTACTCTCAAAGCTAGATCAGGCAACTCAAGGTCTCATCCAGTCAAGTCTCAAAAATCTCCAAGGATAAGATTCCCATCTCTCTGGGGCCCAACTCGAGTGCTAACCACATGATAAGCCATTTTTTCCTTCTGTCCAACTGGAATTTCCTCTGTTGCAATTTCTGCCTGCCACCTCTTATCCTTGCTCTGTGCACCTCTGAGCAGAGTTTGTGCTCCAGTCTGTGCTGGTACTGCACGTGCTCCATGCTTCTAAATGTCTTACCCTCCTAATGATCCTCTGCTAGACCATCTCCAGATCGTCAAGATCTCTCCTGTGCTGGTGGGGTCAAAATGAGACATGGCTCCTCAAATGTAGCCTCACAAGTACTGCATGGAGAGGAACAACTGCTCCCCTTGACCCACCAGTGATGCTGTCGCTACTGCTGCTCTTTCGTGGCCAGCCAGCCTGCCTTGCGGAGTCGGAGGCACCCTGCTGACTCACATCCTAATTAACAAATCCGTTTGTGGTTTTGATTGAAAAGAAAGAAGACACCACCTGTATGAAGCTGCGATGGGTTTTGGTTATTGACTACGGAGATCAAGGTGGGGGGGGAGCCACACTGAAGAGACGAGGACAGCATGGTAGAAAGAGGACAAATGCCAGATGACGAAGCAATAACCCAAGGGGATCAGTGCGGTCGGGAGATCCAGGCAGCCTGCTGACACAAGGCTGCTGCGTGTCCTGGACCACCCGGCACAAGGCAGTGAGACCCTTGGCGTGCGGCTGCCCAGCATCCCTGCGCGGGACACGAAGGCGTGCACCCAGCGTGCCTGCATGGCTCCCTGCTCCGGGCTGCGCTGCTCGTACATGGGGGTGGGAAACTTCTCAGGGATGTGGGAAAGCCACGCACGGGAGGAAAATACCCCCTTTCCTCACAAAGACCCTGGAGTTTGCTTCCAGCCCGGGGCTCTGCAAAGCTCGCGGGCCTGCCTTGCTAGCTGGGTACAGAGGCATATGAATGTCCTGGGCTGCCTCCAGCTCGGTGGCGGAGTGAGTCACTGCTCTCCAGACAGAGGGACAAAGGGCAGCAGCCTGCTCAAAAGTTTGCTCTCTTGGCACTGAGACATTTTCCAGCCCTGCTGGCCTTGCTAAAAGTGCAGGGGGCATGCAAGCCTTCTCTCTGCCTTGGCTGGAGTTGGGATCAACAGACAACACAGCCTTTGCCCTACTAACGCCTTCGCTCATCCCCTCCCCTTCCTCCGGGGCAAAGGCTGTGCCAGCCCCGGGCTCTGCAGTGCAAAGGTACCACTGCCTCCACCCCCGCTGCTCCACCCCACGCCAGAAATACTTTCTGTGTTTCTGTAGGCAACATTTAGAGCTTACTGGATCAGCTGGGTGCAGGCAAGCAGAGTTTTACACCCTTGTCTCCGCAGTCTGCTCCATAGCCATTAATATACCACGGTGAGGGGATAAGCCAGATCCCCAAAGACCTGAAAGGTGTCTTTACACTTAGGTCTGGGAGGGGGTTGGAGAGGTAACTAATTTATTTCCATGCCCTATGGCAGGAACAGCACCCCCTAAACCACTGCTGGCAGATGTCTGTCCAGTTTCTTTTTAAGGACTGCCTTCCTGGGCAATCCATTTAGTCTTTTATTTTACTTACAGTTCAAAAAAAGTCACCTATGTGACTTAATTCTCCTTTGCTGCAATATAAAGGTATTACCTGCTGGATGGATAGAGACCAATTTATTGCTTTCCTCTTGGCAGTTAGCCTTTTAGACACTTGAAGACTTCTCACACCCTCTCCCTCCACCTTTCCTCTACAGAACCGGTTCATTTGGTCCCTCCCTGGAGGTGCTGGTTTTCAGGCCTTTGATCCTTCTTGCTGCTCACCTGGGAATCCCAAATGGCTCACGCATTTCTTGAAATATCATGCCAGGCATGGTGTTAACATTAGGAAGGTCTTGTCTGTAAGCAGAGTAGAAGATTACTTTGCACATCTCACACAGGTCACTCTCCTTTTAACTGTTACCATTATGAAATGTGTATGAGACCAGTAATTCAGAAGAAAACTCTTGCTAAAACATTGCTGAATGCAATGCTTTATACATTGTTCAGTAAGTGACATTTTGGAGCTTCCAAGTTCGCAAAGCTCTTCCTGCAGGGGATAGGAGCTAACAGTAAGCTCGGTTTTAATGGTTATCCCAGCCCCATCCCTCCCCATCTCAGCTGGAGATGTTACCCTTCACTCCCTGCCCTGGACAGGCATTTGTTGTTAAACAGCTGCAGCGATTTGCCCTACGACACTCAGACCCATCCAAATGAAAGGTTGTTTATAAGATACTAAAATGCAGGTGCACCCGTTCCTTTCACCGTAGCTGTGCCTATGCTGGGCAGAAGGCTCCAGCTCTCTCCGCTGGTACTCAAGGGCAACCGATAGCAATCCTCAAAATGTCATTTTGCTTCAGGGCATGTCATATGCAGTTTTACCAGGTACTCACATACTTACTTCTTCATGTTTTTGCAACTGAAATGGGGATTGTCAATGAGTCTGACGAATCTGGCTGCCACCTTGCTACTGCAAAAGGACAGCTTTATAACCCAAGAGCAAATATAGGCAATGTCTCTTCAACAATATAATCCTTCATAAAATTCAGAGATGGGAGGGAAGATTTCTCCTTCAGCATCTCTTTTCCCCAACCTCTAAGTCACACACAGACACAGTGTCACACTCATCTCAGTTTATTGCTTGTGTTCAAACAGCTGTCCTTATTCCAACTGCTGTATTAGAAACAGATACAAAAAAAAAAAAGGCACTAAAAGGATTTTCTCAATTTGATTGTGATTCTATGGCTTCAGTCACATTACGTTAAGGTACATTAAATTGCTACCCTCCAGCTGGGGAGCAGAAGGCTTAACATCCAGTAAAGAGAGTTACGCCTGTATGCTCCAACCCACGTCATGTAGAATGGGACAGGTAAGGCTGAGACAGGCTGAAAATTCACTGCCCCATCTCTCAGGTTATGTCTGTACTTGCTAATCCATGCCAGTCCCTACAGGAGAAACATCAAAGCCTGCCTCACGCTTTGCACGGTGTTTGCCTGGCACAAGGGAAAAAACCACCCTTCTCCCTCGGCAGGGCACAGGGAGGTGTAGCTGGCTAGGGGCCACATCAGTATGTTAATGCATTTCCCTTTACCTACACACTATAAGGGGAAAAAGAGAAATCAGTTCGCAAACCAGAGAAAGAAGTATTTTGTATCCGAGAGCTCCCCTAGGAGGAATTAAAAATGCATTTTTTTGCAAGAAGACGAAATTCTGTAGACAAAGGGTGGCCAAACCTCTGCTGCCAGATCATCAAGACTCCTCTTCCTTCCTTACAGTTGTTGCTACACACAGGGATAATGATCAAATCTGACCAAGGGAGGGATGGGCCCCACATTGCCAGGAGCTCAAAGGCAAATGGAGTAA